TTTTCGGAGAGTCGGATATGTTTGTTTTGGTTGTATAAAATGTATATCTTTCGTAAGTGGTAGTTGTCGTTGAACTTCGCCTCTTCCATCTGGGATCAGACAGGCTTTCCTCCCGGTCTGAGTCACCAGTCCATACTCCGTTGGTCATTGAATGATTTCCCTCATTGTTTCTTGCGCTGTCGGGGATGAAACTACCCTTGAACCCTTTGTAATTGCTTTTTTTCTCCTTGTAGTTTGTGGACGTTGACTTTCCGAGTTTCCTCAATAGATCAATTTTAATTTTTGTTTTGTTATTGAGCAGCTAATGACCGGGTGATTTTAGGGAGAAACTGAAAAGTTTTTGTTTGGTTCGAATGACCGCTTGAGTATTAATTGGATTGTTTGGAATGCACATGCGGTTATAAATCGCTTGTTAGTGTTCTTTTATTTTCCGCGCGCTTTCAGATCAGTCGATACGGTGCTCGTTTCTGAATGGCTAGGTTTCTTATAGTTAAGTGTCAAACATCTCAAATTTGTAAATGATTGATTTAATTGACGCCATTACAATTTCCTCATCATGCGCGCTTGGGGGTGCTGCTTATCAAACTGCATTACGCGGCATTTAGTCTACTAGCCCTATTTTTGTTCCCGCCAAGTGTTTAATGTGAAATTAAAAAGAATGAGTCGGTCAATCCATCTTGTGAGCCTGCTTTGGCTCGTTTTTGATTTTTTACTTGCGCTTAATGCGCTGAAAAAAGCTTGATGGTCTGTGATGACGGTAATTTTTTTCCTTTCAGGTAATATTTAAAGTGTTTGATTGCCGACACGACCCCTAAGAATTCAAGTTCTTTCACTGAATACTTCTCCTGTACTGATTTCAGGAATCTCGATGCATATGCTATTGCTTTCCAAAATTTTTGAGTACCTTGCTTTAAAGCTGCCTCTAACCCGGAGTTTGATGCATCGCATGCACGCGGATTGCTAAATTTCGGTCAAAACGGTTTTTTTTCTTTGATTTCAGACAAATGTTCTTGTGTTGTTTGGCCCTCCTTTTCTTCCTTCTTCAGTTTCATGTCGATTGCCTCCTCCTTGAACATTGGGTTTCGTGGTGGGTACGGCTGTTCCTTGTCTAAAAACGTAAAAAACGTCCTGTTCTAAGTACTGATTTGTACGCAAGTTAATCACTTACACAGGAAAGCCTGCATGGTCCGCATTTTGATGGAAATGGTACAAAAGCGAATTCACTATTCTTAAATGACGTGTTTGTGTACCAAAAAATTGCATACTGCTGTGTGAGGTGTGTACGTCAAAATTTTTCCATCGCTTATTTCATATCTTTATTCAAATGATTTTGGGTGTTTGATTCTTTGGCTAATCTTAATGCTTTTCCTGGTTTTTGTTCAATTAGCTTTATGATGTTTTAGGCTGTTTGCCCATGGGGTCTCGTATATCCTAGGTTTACCTTTTCCTTTTCAATGGCTGTTGCTCTTCTTGTTTTCACACCTGTTGTACTTTGTGCGCGTTCTTCTTTTGTTATTGGAGGGTCTATGAGAGTGGGTCTGCTATTTTTGCTGGCTGTCTCTGGACTGTTTCTTCGTCTTCTGACCATCGTTAGATGACGTACAAATTTTTGGCTGGCAGCGGTGATTGCATCAAATGCGTGTCTCGCGTTTTCCCAATTTAGGTTTATCGGTGAACTAGTTGTTGCTAGGTTTGATAGAGATGTGTTGGTTTTTCTCTCCATGTGCGCCTAGAATGGTGCGATTTATAACCAGATTTATAACCGGGTATGAACAGATCGAACTGAAAGAAAAACTTATACAATGATGCATTTTAAACAACGGCATTCCTAGGAAAAAAAGATGTGATCAGGTACACACATTCAGGGCACAATGTGTCAATTATTTTGCCAATCGAACAACATGCATTTAAAATTCGCACCATTTACGAACATAGATCGATAGGAGTTGTAGAACGAATGATTATAACACTACACCGCAGACTAGGGTTAAAAGGAATAGATAAAAACAACACACCAGTCAAACTAGCACCCGGATTAACAAAAATCGCACCATTCTAGGCGCACATGGAGAGAAAAACCAACACATCTCTATCAAACCTAGCAACAACTAGTTCACTGATAAACCTAAATTGGGAAAACGCGAGACACGCAATTGATGCAATCACCGCTGCCAGCCAAAAATTTGTACGTCATCATACGATGGTCAGAAGACGAAGAAACAGTCCAGAGACAGCCAGCAAAAATACCAGACCCACTCTCATAGACCCTCCAATAACAAAAGAAGAACGCGCACAAGGTACAACAGGTGTGAAAACAAGAAGGGCACAAGCCATTGAAAAAAAAGGTAAACCTAGGATATACGAGACCCCATGGGCAAACAGCCTAAAACATCATAAAGTTAATTGAACAAAAACCAAGAAAAGCATTAAGATTAGCCAAAGAATCAAATACCCAAAATCATTTGAATAAAGATATGAAATAAGCGATGGAAAAATTTTGACGTACACACCTCACACAGCAGGGTGCAATTTTTCGGTACACAAACACGTCATTTAAGAAAATCATGACGTGTTTTCTTAAACACCAGTGAATTCGCTTTTGTACCAAATCCATCAAAATAGGGACCATGCAGGCTTTCCTGTGTAAGTGATTAACTTGCGTACAAATCAGTACTTAGAACAGGACGTTTTTTACGTTTTTAGACAAGGAACAGCCGTACCCACCACGAAACCCAATGTTCAAGGAGGAGGCAATCGACATGAAACTGAAGAAGGAAGAAAAGCAGGGCCAAACAACACAAGAAATCCCAAAGAAGCACCAGGCCAAACCGACAGGGAAAAGAACGGACGGAAAACCGCCGCAAAAAGCGCCCACAAGAGAGATGCTGTTCCAAACAGAGGAACTACCGTGAACTAGCAAAGAGCTCATAAAACGAAATTCACCAGAGAAATCAGCCTCTTCAAGCGAAGAATGTTCCTCGACAACCCTGATTAATACACCGTTACCCAAGAGACTGTACCAAAAGAAAACGCCACCAACAGTAAAAGAACAATATGCAACGATGAAATCCACTCGTACCAGGGAAGCGACCGTAACAGGGGCATTTGGCATCGCAATCCCAATCGAAATAATAGAAGATACCAAGGCGGAGAAGAAAGAGTCACAATCAATTCGCCAACTGGTGATAAACTTACCGAGGCCAAGCCGAAGGAATAAAACAAGGGCATCAAAAGCTTCATCCAAGAAATGGAACTTAACGAAAAAACGCCAGAATATAGAGCGTTCGTCAAACTTTTTTGAGTCCATAAAACCAAAATCGTCGTACAAAGCAATTGACATAATTGACCTCATGTCGCCAAGCCACAGTTCAAACACGGACACCCTGTCAAATCAACGTGAATTAATTGTTTGCAATCGACACTCAAAACCAGAAGACAAAGGAAAATGAGAAAGAACAGACGCACCAAACGTCGAAAAAATACGCGAAAAATAGAAGACGAAGATGAGAAGAAAACAGCAACAAAAACAGAGGGTCAAACCTCGAAGAAATCATGAAAATCCGACAACGCAGTCCTCAGGGGACTTAAAAACACAATGCTAGTTCTCATAAGAGCCACGAATGGCAAAATTGTTATAAATATGATTGCTATACATATGTATGTTGTTTGATGTTACTTATGTTGGTTAGATGACCTTGTGGCTTCCGAGACAATTGTGGCGCTAGAAGCACAGAACGAGAATTAACCATTAACGAAATATTTGTTTTATTCACGTTGTGATAGGCCATTTTTATTGGCAATCCGTTTGGATTCGATGTTTATAGATAGCTCATACCCTCATGTATGTCACCGAAAATGAGAAAGATTTGTTCTGATCAAAAGTTTGGTTAAAAATTTTTCTTGTTGGAAAATCGTTATGATTTTTTTCTATTTTGGCAATTTGCAGTGAGAAAAGATAAATTCTTGAAAAAATTTTTTCTAGGTAAGCTAAACATAGGCTGCCCATAACTAGTTCCTAACCGTACAAAACTCAATATAAAAAATAGTTTTTTGGTATTAAATAAATGTTGCTCCTACCATTAAAAGACCATATAGATCCATTGGTAATGGGTAAAGCTGTCAGTACGAACCCTCAGTAACCGAACTAGAAATGTCTAAAAAATTAGTTCTGTATGTTTCTACTCCACTAATGGATGAATCATGATAATGAAATTTGTTTGACAAAATCTGATTTGGTTAATTTAAAAATGCAGGGCTGATACTCAGAGCCTTGCATCAACTGATTTAGATGCAAAAATTTGATTTTGATGAAAAAAATGTAATATCGGTCTTATTATTCCAGTAAAATTGCTTCCATTTTGGTTTTTTACCATGTGAACAATCTACTTTTCTGAGTAATTTTGGTTCAATTGTAAAGAAAGTTTTTTTATTACATGGCGGTTAATCGAAAACAACCAAGAGTTCTTGAAAATAAAGCTTTCGTTTTCCAATTTTTTTGGAGACATTTGTGGTGGGATCTTCCGGCATTGTTTGCGCAGTAACCGGCTCTTCTTGTTTGTTCTGGCCTTACTTAAATCACAATTTGGAGAATGAAAAGAGCAAAACAGGAGTGGATTTAGAGGTGGAGGGGAGGATGTTGCGGACTCCCCCTTCCTCCTCAATGTTCGACTCCCTCGCCAATCAAAGGGTCCCGCCTTTGGTACTATCTTACCACATCCGCTGCAGGCCGACATATATTCAAAAATTTTGTAAAAGCGTCTTTGGCGCCAATGTAAACTATTTTTGAGGGGGAACGCGCGCCGGAAAAACGCTTTTTTGTCAACATTTTTAAAACGGCATTTGTAAAAACCCTGATCTGATTGAGTCTTTGTTCGCTGTAAAAATCATTTCTCAGAAATAAACGACCAAGAGGCTCGGCATAAAACTGAATGTTGCATATGAAGAAAAGTGAGATTTAAAAACGAGAGAATAAGTCACATGATACAGTCACAAATGTTCAGCCGAGTTGAATTGCAGTTTCTTCTCGCAAAACTATATCTCTTGCTCGATTTGTTCCAGCAACCACGTATAAAATTAATAAAACTATTCGTTAGATTTTATGTAGTGTTTGAAATTAAAAACGTGCAGATTTATTCAGAAGAAAAAGACAACAAAAATGGCGCCCGTGGTCCAATTTATAATCAGGTAAGGGCAGAAAACGTTGAAATGTGGTAAAAATGTCAAAACGGAGTACCAGACATTAGAAAAACCATTTTAGCGTTTTCATTTGTTTCACATACCGAAAAATTTGAAAGATGCTTCAAGTTTTTTGGACAAACTGAAGAAACAACGCTCAAATGGCTTTATATAGTGTCGCCAGAAAGAACGCTGTTTTATGTAACTTTGAGAAATTAAACAATGTTTATCAAAAATGACGTAATTTTAACTCTTCACCTATTGCAACAGACACCTTCAAGCAAATAAAGTTTGGCTACGGCTCAAGACTTTATAATTCTCGCTTATTTCTAATTAAAAGAAACAAAGAGAAATAAATGGTAAACTCAAAAAGATTTTAAACGGTAAAACTCTGGTTAAACACTTTATTGAACAGAATTAAATTGCATGGAATCTGCACGGAAATTTGAATTTTTCCGATTCTTGTTTTTAGGAAGATTCGACGAAGTGTGGACTTTTTCAAGCCTAATTTTACAATGAAAAAACTATTTTTTAATATCATTTTAACCATAAAATTTATTGCAAAACGGTTTGCAACTGGTCTTTTTTTGATGTTCAAATAGCCTTACTCTTTAGAAAAACCGCAACCTCAATAGGGCTGGAATCTTTAAGCTATCGATTGGCAATTAACTATGCTACCAACTGTAATATATCGGCCTTGTAAGTTTAGCATATGTTTTGCATTATAATAGCGTAAAAATACTTTCAACATAATGCTAAGTAGCATTAACATCCTCCGTCTCCGAAGGAGCGAGAACCGGAACAAGCTTTATGAGCGGTTGAGTATAGTTTGTGGAACGACGGGCGACTTTGTCTTTTCCGTAGTTTAGCGACGTTATGCGCGCTAATGGGTAGTGGCCCCTAGGACTAGTTGATTCAACTGACTACACTACATCTCCAATTTTCAAAGTATCTCCGGAAAGAGATTGCCAGTTAACTCTTTTTTTGAATGCCGGGGCGTACTGACTTAACCGTACTGACTTAATCGCTGCCAAGTTGCGTTTGCGTAGGACTGCGCATGTTTATAGCGTTTTGAGTGAAAAACTTTTTCGTTCGAATTTCAGTGGGGAAACGTCAAACTGTGATAGACCAGCAGAAAAGGATTTGACGTCGACGCCTCATGACTACTGGGATTGTCGGAAACGGCAGTGAGCGGACGGGCATTAAGCGAACTTTCGACTAAGCACATGGAAAGGTTCAAAACCACCTCAGTCAATTTTCGCGGCCGAAAGATCAAGTAGAACACGCGCTTACAACTGCGAACCATTCGCTCCCATGCTTCACTTTGATGTGTTGCACTAGATGAATTATACTTTCACCTAATGCATTGATGAACGGGCAACAATGGAGCCTCTGCATTCAAAGTTTTAAGCAAATTTGGAGCTCTTTTTCATCTCCTACAGAAAGGGTACTATTGTTCGATCAAGTTACCGACGTTTTTCCTCGCTTAGAGATGAAGCACTCAGTTGCAATCACACATGAGCTTGTGATTGAAACCAAGTCAATGTGAGCTGTGTGGGTCATCAAACAGGTAAACTGAAATCCAAGTATTTCTCGGAAGATCGATGAGTGGTTAGGTTAAGCGGACCCCAAAGTTCGAGAACTGCGGCTCGAGTAAGCCTAAGTGTTTAACGGGAAGATCAGACATCATTTGCGTAACGGTGTTCCTTTTCTGCGGTAACGAGTTGCCATGTTTCGATTATGACCTTATTCGAGTTCTGATTTTACGATGTCTTGGTAAGAGTCTCAAGAAATATGCGACCATGCGCTATATCTTGGAAAACCAGCTTTACTCTAACGAGAGAAGCCAAAGTCAGTTGAGGCTGCATAGCGCGAAAAAAAGGGAAAAAAATTTAAACTCTCATTCAAATTGTAGACCGGATTGCCTTCGAGGCGGATTTTCTCAGTGACTTTCCTATTTGACGTGAAAGGCTAAACAGAAGTTTTCAAAAATGAAAGGGAAGTTGACCCAACTACTATGTTTCAGGATTTTTGCTGTAACAAGTCAGGTTCCGATGTCAGCAGGGCTGTCACTACTAGAGCATGAAACCATTGGTCACTTGATGTCGACTCCAAAACTTCGGCTACCCGACTGGCAACAAACACGGACAGTTTGCTCGCCGGTTTCAACCACTGAAGGACTGTTGTGCTGTCAGTCCATGAAATTTCTTAAACAAAAACTCAGGGTCAGAGCTTTTTCGATATAATTTTCAGACGAGTCGGAAGAAGCGCAGCTTGAAAATCCAAATTTGGAATCGAAAGTTTTTTCATTGGGGCTACTCTGGCTTTGCCGAAGACGAACGCAATTTGACATTCGCAAGAGCCGTTTTCTTAGCGCGAAGGAATGCAACAGAACAAAAAGATCCAGAACTGTCACCGAACATGAGCAAACGAACCTCATCGAGTGAACAATCAAAAAGCAACAAGTGATTGTGAGCTGATCTAAAAGTGGCAAACCTAAAGGCCATTCAAAAAATATGTGGTACAAACTGTTTGGCAGTGTCTCGTCCCACTGCTGACCAATCAGTGGCTAAATATTTTTAGGTAACAAGCGTGCCAGCAGGGGAGATTCTACGCTTAAACGGCCGAACGCTTGAAAATTTCAACCAATCAAAATCGCTCAGCGTTACTTTTGGCTAAAAGCCTTTCTCGCAAAATTGAAGTCAATTTTAACAGAAAATGTTTTAAATCCGTGGAAAAAAAATCAAAAATAATTCAAATTGCGGGTTACAACCGCAATAGTATTCAGATAAACATCAAAATTTATGAATTTAAATTTTCAAGAATTTTTCTGCTGTTTATATAATCGATCAGTATTAACACTAATGGCCTGGATTTATTTTCTTACTTTGAGTTTTTCACAATTTACTTTGAGATGTTGAATACTCAATTCTGATGGGCTGAAAGTAAACTAAAATAAAATTCAAGAAGTCGGTGCCTCAAGCATGAGTGACATCTCCGTGCCCGCACGGTATACGGATCAACAAAATCTACCGGGTCAAACAATGATGACACAAGGCTAAGCACCGATTGCTGTGTAACAGAGTTTTGAGCTCGGGGTTAACTCCTCTGCTCAGAATCAATGTGTTGATGACCTGGTCCATTTGAGACGCAGAAAATGCGATGCGGTTTAGAGATTTCCCCTAGCAGTAAAGTTTGCCTTAGCGTTGCCAGCGCTTTTATTTGGGTATTTAGTTTCAATGACAAAAAAAGAAAGTTACTAAAAACATAAGCAGGTCAGTAAATTTGAGACTGAATTCCAAAGCCGTTTCCGGTTTTTTTTACGGAGTGAAAGGAGTCATTCACGCAAAAATTTTTAATACGGCGTAAGAATTTCAGGATAACGATCTTGGTTATCGACGGCTGTTCGACGTAGAGCTTGATTAACACAAATCAGAGAATATTTTGTTCCGAATATATGCTTAATTTTCTGAAATACACTCATATCTACTCTGTGGTTTTCCCGCAACAAAAAAACGCAATGAGTTTTGATCGCATTCTAGCAACCCAACCTGCGTTAACATGCCTTCGATGCCAGTGGATACTGCATAATTGTGCTCTCAAACTCGCCTCAGCATTCCACAGATTAGCGGAAAATAGCCAGACGATTGATTATCCACAACGCCAAAAACGCACCGAGCCTAAAGTTGGCCCAAAAATCAGCAACATCAAAGCTCAACTGGCCATAATTGCAAATAACCAAAAGTTGCACCTGGACAAAAACCCAAGCCAGTCGAATTTTCTAAAAATCAACTCACCGCACTGAATTGTTGTGGTCTGTAAATATCACAACTTAGATCAAGCTGACATCCCCGGATACACCAATTTAAGATCTTCCCGCCCAATTACAAGTTTGCTATTCCTATTAATAAAGCTAATAAAATTGGTAAAAACTGGAAAAAACTTATTCGAAAAAGTCAAATCATAAGGAATTTTAGTCGATACGGTCGGAACCCCCAAACGATTTGTAGTCGAAATAAAACGTCAACCAGTGGCTTACAATCACCTGTTAACCCACCACAAAAAAGCTGATGAAATGAAATTTTGCTTTAACTCAAATTTTCTGCTGCACAAAATTCGTCGTGTTTTATATTATCACTACTACGATCAGTGCTTTAGCATTAACTTAACACCCTCACCCACTCAGAAAATGAATTGAAACGAAAATTTCAACAGGATTTTTTTTCATTACGAGGCCAAACTGTGCACTGGATAGGCGCACAATTTCGTGTCTGTATGTTCCTGGATTCCAAAAACTAATCTTTAAACGTGTTACAAAATATAATTGGATTCCACCTACAAAACTTCCGTGGATTCCGCGTACATAGGAGTGTAACGTCAAATTGTCGACACATTTGTTGTGTTGCGGATTCCGCAATAAGCTAATATAGCTAGTTGTTCTGGATTCCGCAACTGTAAGTGGATTCCGCAAAATGTAAGCAGAATCCGCAAACGTAAGCGGATTCCGCAACTTGTAAGAGGATTCCGAATTTTGTTCAATTCTGAACTTGCATATGAACAATTGAAAGCTAGAGTTGGAATTCTTGTCTCTAGCAATGCAGAATTTAAAAGCATGGACTTAACCATTGTCAGCGGAATCCACGAACAAGTCTTAAAACATTGGTTACCTAAATTGGTGGATGTCATCTTTTAGTTTTTTGGAAACACGAAACCGAATATTTTCAATATTCGGAGTCATTGAGTTGAGAGTGTATGGAAATACAACAGCAGCATATCGCCAAATTAGGTCAGTATTTGGGATCGCGTCAGTCACAAACACTGATTTTGGAAGCATACCGCCGAATAAATTCAGTAAATGTAGTCAGTGGAGTGAAAGTTTATGGAAACACAACCCACAGCATATCGCCAAATTAGGTCAGTATTTGGGATTCCTTCGATCCCAAATATAGGTCAGTATTTTGGATTGATGAAATCCCAAAATTTGGAACAATATGGAATAATTATGCAATAAAATCATTATTTGGAGTCATTAGGTTGAGAGTGATTAGAAACCCAACGCATAGCAAATCTTCGTATTAGTTCAGTGTTTGGGATTTCATCGATCCCAAATACTGGTCAGTAATTGGGATTCCATTAACCCTAAACATTGATCTAGTAAATTCTTATTCTTGTGAAATCAAATCATGTAATTAAAAGATATAATTTTAAACGCTACTACATATATACATATATGTAAACGGAATCCGCAAACAAAATGCGGATTCCATTGCAATTTGCGGATTCCACTTATATTTTGCGGATTCCGCTTACAGTTGCGGAATCAGCAACAGCTCAATTTAACTATACATATGTCGTATTGTTTGTTTGTGAACTCCACAAACTGTTTTCGATTCCGCAAACACGGTTGCGGATTCCGCAAATTCGTCTATTTTTGGAGCGATTTTGAGCGGAAAAGTGTTTTGATAATTTTTTTTTGTGGAATTCATAACAGCAAAGAAGCTCAAAGAAAAGTAGCAAGGATGTGGATTCCGCGACAAATCTGATTTTGGCCTGTTGCGGATTCCGCTAACATTGCACAAAATGCACAGTTTGGCCTCGTAATGTTTAGTATTGAAAATTTGAATAGTTTTTTCGTCATAAAATAACCTATTGCAACAGATCCTCCAGGCTGACAATTTCAATAAATAAAAAAAGTACGGTTCAAAAGACTTGGTACCGCACAGAAGTGTTTTAGTTAAAATATCACAATTACTATCAGTGGTTTTCGATTATTTTAAAAGCCACCACAAACTATTATGATGAGTGGTTTAGGAACAACTTAATGCCCACACTCACCCCAGAAAAATTATTGAAATGAGATTTTGCTACTGCTCAAAATTTGTACTGTACAGAGTTCGTCGTGCTGATTATCATCATACCAATATGTGCAGTGGTTTTAGATCAACTTACACTCACCCCACTTTTTAGATCAGATTTTGAAACTTCTAAATTTGAAGTTTTGAGGTCAAATATTCTTGTCATGGCTAAATATTCTGGTCATGCAGGAGCGGATTTAGGGGGGGGGGGGGGGCGGACGCCCTTTCTTCAGGGATTCGACCCCCTGCCGACCCAAAGGGTCCCCCTTTGAACTATTTTGAGCTCAAAAGTTTTCTAAAGGCGCCATCGACGCCAATATATACTAATTTTGAGGCTCCTCCTCAAAATTAGTATATATTGGCGCCGAAAAAACGCAATTTTTGGTCAAAAATTTCCAAAAAATGCCTAAAAACGCTTTTTTGGCCTCCTTTTTTAAAATTTTGCCTGCGGCGCACAAATTTGCGCCAAATCAGAGTCTTTTTAGGACTTTGAGAAAGCTCGAAAATTCAAATTGGTCGACGTAAGAAAAAGGTCGATAAATTTTTTTTTTTAATTTTCGAAATTTTTTTGAATATCCCCCCTTCCCCTCTTGAGAAAATCCTAGATCCGCCCCTGTGGTCATGTACAATTCTTTGTCATTTTTAACGCCAATTTTTGTACAAAGCTAATTACAGTGAAGCCAAGGTTCTACCTTTTAAGAAATAACAGAAAGATTGGCTTCAAATGGGCACGATAAAGGTGGTTAACAATTCGTTCTTTTGATCCAATGGTACACTCCTAAAAATGTTCACCTGTTTTCACCTGAAAAATTGCATGTTTTCACTTTTGCTTGACAAAATCTCGTAAAAAAGGACCAAAAGAGCCAATTGAGTTTTAAAACTGTTGATTTTTCATCACAGAATAAAATTTGTCAGCGGTGAGCCTGTTGTTTAATGCAAATCTTAAGTAATTTTCAATTTCCCACTCACGAGAAAATGAGCAAGCCGAAAGAAACTACCAATGAAACACCTAAATATTTCAACGACAGCTAAACACTGAAAACATTGCCAGGATGTAGGTACAAATTTGAGATCCGACAGTTATAAGGGAAATATAGGGGAGGCGTTTAAACCTAGGGAAGCAGATAGAATTGTCCAAGTACTGGGTTACAGTAACTATTACATTTATTTTTGAGGCAGGGCCCGCGAATAATTTAAACAACAATATCCTGATCGCATCTTTTAATTTTTTGTCGTCACGATTACCAGTTGGCTATGTTGTCCCCTCTTGCGGCCTTATTTTTCCGTATTGTTCCGAAAACTGGTCAAAAGAACTACATGGAAACCTCCGACAATATTAACGTTTTTCCAGTTGAATGATTTTTTCCAATCAGTTTTCTGATACGTAGTTACAGTTACGTAGCGGATTGACTAAATTTATCAATAAATTATCGAAATTTTATCGTATCTCACCCGCCGTGGCTTTAAAATTGAGTTTAGGATAACAACTTGTTAATGTGATGATTTCATTCATAAGGATCGTGGTTTTAAAAATAAGCTAGTGCCATCCACTACACCGACCATTTTGTTTCTGAGACTTGAAGGGGCTTAAGTAAATTCGTCTAATTGAACTCTTTTTTTTTAGCCCTGATGTGGTTCCCGGTGTGATGCTGTTGATGCTATCCGTGGTGCCTCGGGTCTCTTTTGGAGCTCCCGTGGGCGATGGCGGAGAGTTAAACCGGAGTTGCGCAAGGCAGATGCAGCTTCTGCAGGACAATTGGGACAAGATATATCCCAGGTGTGATGAGCAGCGGCATAAGGGAGACGAGGAGAAGAAGGACTGTGACATCAGAGGAAACATGATGGGTATGTTAAATTAGAAAAGCATAAGGGGGCAGGGGAAGCTGAAGGAGGCACGGTGGATGTATGGAAGTGTCGATTTTTTAGTTCAAGTTTTGATAATTTCAAATGCCAGAAATTCATTGGTTGCCTTTTTTGGTTCAAGGTGATCCACACCCTCAAAGTTACTATAAACTGACGGCTAAGGCGCCTTTCAGGAGCGGAACTAAGAGATGGATCCTGTCTTTGGTACTAATTCATGACATCCATTTTTAGTCGAACATAGACCTAATCTTTTCTGAAGACACCATCGGCACCAAATGCACTAATTTAACAAGTTTTGTTGGCCGAGATCGCAGTTTCGGGATGACTCGGAAAATCAGTTGAGGGAACCTAAAAAGATCCAATTTGGTCGAAATCTTCTGGAAAGTCTGAGGTGCGCGACGCGAGAAAACAGTACGGGTTGTCAAAAACTGCTTGCGTAATTTAATACCTTTGGAAATAATTGGCAACCAGAAATGATTTCCCCCGATCCTTTTATTTTCAGGTCTCAGAGACCTGTTCGTGGACAGCGCCTATTATGGTAGATCCTGTAGTGGGCTGCAGAGTGAGCTGACTCAGCCAGATATGTTCACATGGTATGGGTGTATCTACAAGCGGGAGAACAAAACTTTCGATAATGGCATCATCGCCAAGTCTTCTCTGAGGAAACCCTTAGGAATCATGCCGACTTTCTGGTAAAATACATAAGTTCAGATTACTTTAAAATGGCATTTGAATTCAACTAACCCATAAAACTTAATGTTTTTTTTATTTTAATGTAGTTTTTGCGTTTGTTAAGGGGTCTGTTAGATCTGTAAGGAGCTGGAGTTTTATTTTCGAATTTATTTAAACTTTCAAGCTGCTGTGGAAACGTTTTTATGGGCGGATATAAGACTTTCTCAAGGGGGATTTAAGAAAAAACAAAAAGGAGCATCTCGTATGTCGCACACTCGCATGTGTACCGGATTAATATGTAGACGGGAGTTAATTGTGATTTTACCTAACGACAGTTTTAGATAAAAACACTACATGGATAATTGAAGGGACGGAGACTTTTTCGGGTTTCCCTTTAATTAAAACAAAGTTAGCTTAATTTCAGGTATAACAAGTTGATGTGCGAGAACATAATCAAAGAGGAGGTCGAAGATCGATCCAAAATAAATAAAGAGTCCAGCTGTGTGCCAAAATACCAAATGGTCGAGTTCACCCTCGAAGTCCGCGATTGTCCCGGTGGAAAACAAACTCGATTGATCTGGTGGCCGGCTATCATGTAAGCAGATGGTATGGCCTGAAGAAAACTTGAATTGTAGTTGTCGGGCGAGATAAACTTAAACGAAATCGTAGATGAGGTTACAATTTTTAGCATAAAATTCAAAAAAAAACAGACATATTAGAGTTAAAAATGACAAGATCCTTTCTAATTTTTAAACTATGCAAAAAATACACTTGTACTTCGTTCTACGATTTCGTTATGCAGACCAGAAGAGTCGAGAATAAACTTAAAAAACTTCGTTGAAGTTGCATTTTGGTCTGATTTTGAACTATGAAGCATTATAGAAGACTCCTGAAGGCCGAAATAAGGCTTTCCTGCTCCTGGCTAGCGAGTACTCTGTCCAACCTTGCACTGCTAATGTAGGGTTTGACACATTACACAAACTGTTGATCAAACCAGCTTTCATAAACCTTCTGAAAACCCTGAATGTTTCTCTGAAGGCTCCTTTGGTGCCAAAAGTCACAAGACACTTAGGGTTGAATTCCAGTTGAAAAGAGTCTGAGAGACTGAGATGTTGGAAGTACTAACGCTAAACGCCCACCAATGAAAATAGGTCAATATTAACATGAACATCTTATCTTCAAGTATTGTGTGAATGATTCATAAAGTGTAAATATATTTTCAATTATAATAACAAATGAAACATGATGTTTTTAACGAACAAATACGCAACGCGATAGGTCTGGGGTCTCAATTTTGCTGGCTACATTTTTTCAACCCTCACCCTATTAAAACTCAAGCGCCGGAAAACGTTTTCATTTTGAATCCCAAAATTTTAAATTTTGTTTTTTTTCCCCGAAAATTGCTTCTATAGTTAAAACAAAAATGACGACGAAGTGTGGTCAATTTATATTCGGTCAAGAAAAGCTTTTGCATAGACTCCAAAAAGCGTTGACATGCGTCTGGTTATTACTTGAAAATACGGTTGACCTCAAAGTTAATTGTGATTTTACCTAACGACAGTTTTAGATAAAAACACTGCATGGATAATTGAAGGGACGGAGACTTTTTCGGGTTTCCCTTTAATTAAAATAAAGTTAGCTTAATTTCAGGTATAGCAAGTTGATGTGCGAGTACATAATCAAAGAGGAGGTCGAAGATGGATCCAAAATAAATAAAGAGTCCAGCTGTGTGCCAAAATACCTAATGGTCGAGGTCACCCTCGAAGTCCCCTATTGTCCCGGTGGAAAACAAACTCGATTGATCTGGTGGCCGGCTATCATGTAAGCAGATGGTATGGCCTGAAGAAAAACTGAATTGTAGTTGTCGGGTGAGATAAACTTAAACGAAATCGTAGATGAGGTTACAATTTTTAGCATAAAATTCAAAAAAAAACAGACATATTAGAGTTAAAAATGGCAAGATCCTTTCTAATTTTTAAACTATGCAACAAATACACTGAAACTTTGTTCTACGATTTCGTTATGCAGACCAGTAGCGTCCAGAATAAACTTAAAAAACTTCGTTGAAGATGCATTTTGGTCTGATTTTGAACTATGAAACATTATAGAAGACTCCTGAAGGCCGAAATAAGGCTTTCCTGCTCAGGGCTAGCGAGTACTCTGTCCAACCTTGCACTGCTAATGTAGGGTTTGACACATTACACAAACTGTTGATCAAACCAGCTTTCATAAACCTTCTGAAAACCCTGAATGTTTCTCTGAAGGCTCCTTTGGTGCCAAAAGTCACAAGAGACTTAGGGTTGAATTCCAGTTGAAAAGGGTCTGAGAGACTGAGATGTTGTAAGTACTAACGCTAAACGCCTACCAATGAAAATAGGTCAATATTAACATGAACATCTTATCTTCAAGTATTGTGTGAATGATTCATAAAGTGTAAATATAATTTCAATTATAATAACAAATGAAACAGATGATGTTTTTAACGAACAAATACGCAACGCGATAGGTCTGGGGTCTCAATTTTGCTCGCTACATTTTTTCAACCCTCACCCTATTAGAACTCAAGCGCCGGAAAACGTTTTCATTTTGAATCCCAAAATTTTAAATTTTGTTTTTTTTCCCCGAAAATTGCTTCTATAGTTAAAACAAAAATGACGACGAAGTATGGTCAATTTATATTCGGTCAAGAAAAGCTTTTGCTTAGACTCCAAAAAGCGTTGACATGCGCATGGTTATTACTTGAAAATACGGTTGACCTCAAAGTTCTTCAAAAAACCGTAACTAGGGCCATATTCCTGGTTAAATTAAGGTTGCATAAGTCTTTTCATTTGAAGAAAAAAAATTCAGTTTGGTACTCAATAGTCCAATGCAGTGATGAAAATGAGTGTAATAGAGTTGTAAGCCAGCTGATTTCATTCCCTTATTTTTGCTGTCAAAATTGCGGGATTTTCGGTGCTCCCTTTCGTGTGCCCGGTAGCATCATTAGGCATCCAATATGTTGATGGCGAATTTTTTAAAAGTTTCAAGCAAGAAAAAATTAGGCGCATAACTTCAATACAACACATGCATACAAGAAAAAGACATACGGCAAACTGTTAAATCAAAACACAAACAAACACAGACACAAACAAAAGAATTCGGCAAACTGTAAACTTAGAAACGCGAATAAACGGGAAACAGATCTAGTCCAGAACTTAAACAGTTCATTGTTTTTCTATACAATTATAATCTTGACTGACTCGGACAGACTTGGGGAAATACTTGCTCATGAAGAACTCTCTGTGCTCGGTGAACTTAAGGGATTCAATCAGAGAGTCCAGGTGCCGCTTGTTTTGTGCTGGCAATAACAAATCTCAATGCCCCTAAACCACAGAATTTCCAAAGTCGGGGCCATTCAAAAAGTGCTGAGATTATGACGCTCAAAAATTAACAGCACAATAGGCTTGTGACTTACCAATAGAGTTACTAGTTAAAACTAAACAGCCGAGGAGTTGGACCAGCCTTATAAGAGAACCAAAGAATTGATAAAATTGCTCAATATCATTTGTAACTTCTATGCTTACGTTTTAATTATTGTCTGTGTTTTATTTAAATATTTTGCTTGCTGTGTTTTTGTTTCCTGCATGGATTTAACCGAGGTTGCCAATTAAATTTTTGATTTTCAGTGTAGATTTAGGCTTTGCTTCTCCAGGTCCTCTCTCACACTCTAACTTAAGGCACCGCAAAGTGGTCCCTTTGGTAATGAATTCAGCGGGGCGACCGAGGATCACTACTATCCACAATCCCGAAAGGGTTAGGTTGGTGGCAACTATGCCGTACGGTATTAGGTTACTTGCCCCTTGGTGTACTGCTGTTGAGGCTTTCACGATCGCAAGAATTTCCAGTTGTAATTAAGTTCAGATAAATATCGGTCCAAATACAGAAAACTATAGGTGGCCAGAATGCAATTTAATAAACTAATCAAAAAGAAAGGGTCCGCGATCAACCAACACAATTGAATAACTGCAGTTCAAATCCCAACTAACTGCACTAACAATTCTCTCTTTCTCTAGAGAATCATAATTAACAAATTACACACAGTAGTTCCACACAATCACTCAGTTCGACCTGTTGAAATTAATAGTGTCACTATTCTTTTGAAGTATTTTAACTGATCCCTTTAACTTCACAGTTCCTTGTTCTCTAACTCTGAGAACCAATCATGCTCTAACTTCGCTTAAATCGTTCTCTCTAACTGACAACGAGAACCCAACTACTCTCACTGATAGTTATCACAGTTCTCTAATTAATTGAGATCCAACTACCCCTAAAAGTAGCTCAAACTGTTCTCTCTAATTAACTGAGAACCAACTATAATCTTTCTGAGTTTCCATTTATTATCTCTATCGGTAGGCTATTTATTATTCTCTATAATGTATGTCAATTTGAATTTTAGTTACAGCTAGAGTCATAATCGTCCCTACAAGTCCTATCATTTACTTTAGTAATCCTTCCGCAATGTCTTTACCGGATTCTTCCTCTGTCTACACTAGTCCTATACTGCAAGTTCACTTTAGGTATCTCTTAGTGATTCGTGCGAAAATCAAGTCCAATTTCACCTCTAAACCTATTTTTTTTAATTAAAAACTATCCCAAGGTTTTTATTTGGCTGTCGGATTAAGGTTTCGACCTCTCGAGGGTAGGGGAAGACCCTTTCTATGGGTCACTACTTCATTCCAAGCTGGGTAAATATTCCTTCCGTACATATTGTTTATGAGACCTACTTCCCATTTTATGCTCCTATTACTGCCAATGTTCTCTGGGACTTCTTTTATTTAGTCTGATTGAATTTCTATTAACAGCTCATTCGCCAAATTATTATGAAGTCAATGTTTGCCAAGTCCACTTTAATTAGTTCCACTAATTCGATGTCATAATGTAAAAGCTATATCTCTTTCAGCTTCTGCTTCATTTCCCAATAGGTAAATTCCTTCCCAATTATAAGTAGGTGACCCAATCTCGTTTCCAAGGGTGGGGGTTTGGGAATACGCCTTTTTCCTGTGTGAATACGCCTTTTTCCTGTGAGTTTCCTATGCAATTTTAGTCCTACACGCCCAAAGGTAGTCTAAAGGTCATCCTGGGTTCACCCGTGGTCACTCTTCCCTAGTCGGGTTTAGACTACTATAGGGGTCCTACCTGCCAAGTTTCATCCACATCACGTTAAAACTTCCCAGGTTATCCCATTTCTAATGTCCATTACCAATTTTCGCTGGGAAAAGGCCATAGAAACCGGAAGGAGCCGTCGGAGGGGCTTTACTCACTACGGGGTGTTTTTTTTCAGGTTTGGGTTCTAGTGTCTATTGCCGCCATAAAATTGATATGCCCCTGCTCAAAATTTTGTGTAAATTGCCCACTTCTGGTCTAAGGGGTGTTTTCCCAGGTGCTAATAACTTCGGTCCAACCGCTGGATTTTGGTCAACTTATAACGTGTGATGTTACTCGTTAATATCTATGATATCCCTAAGTCTTAGCTCCTTGCGTGCAGTGGGGGCCGCAAAACGTATTCCGGAAGTCGATGTGGGGGCTATTTGCATAGGACATAACACCGGAATTAGGGGTCCAGGGGTTCTGGGATTCTAAGCTTAATCTTCCCTCAGCTAGGTTTATAACATACTATATTTTATTTCCATTCCAAACGCTGGTTACCGAGTTCTAATAGGGCT